GCCAGATAAAAAAATAAGATATTCAAGGAGAATGTAGTGGAAAAGATGCTGTGTCTATAGCAGGCTTTTGTAATGCAGAAAGAACAAAATTTAATGAGTACATTGGTTGTTAAAGTTAAAATAGCACAAGAATATCAGAAAGCACTATAAACAGTGTGATCCTAAGAGGACTATAAGAAAAACATGAATGCACAAGTTCAAATGAAGAACACAAATGACTCAAACCTCATGCTGAATCCCATGTTGTAGCAGTAGAGCTTCCCCAGCCTTTTCCCCATTGTAATTTTCTGTGCAATGCATGGGTGAGGGAAAATAATGTAAATGACAATGTTTGGAGAAGAAAAAAGTAAAGCAATTTTGCAAGTAGCTTTTAAAAAACATCCCTTTTTTGAATTGATTGTGTTTGAAAACAGGTAAGGAATAATGCTAGGCTACATCTGTATTCTACGCATTTTTAAGCAGATTTGTCATTGTGTGATGCCACAGTTGTCTTTATCTGTGGTTTTGTCTTTGTACCGCATGATTATTACTTGGTTGATAGTAACAGCCCAATCTGTGCTAGCAGCACAGATTGGCATTTGCTTTTTTGGTAGCTGATTTGACATGTTAGTTTTGGCCCTGCAGATGGGAATTGCCTGTCTTGTAGAACCTGTTTGGCTGGAAGTCCTTTCTGCCACCTCTCTGTGCAAGTAGGTCACAAGAGTTCATTGCTTCAGGTGTTGCTGCCACCGTGCATCTCGTCTGGATGCTCTCGCTGATGAGAAGGTGTTGGAAGTTGTTCTGTGCGTTTGGGCGTAGTGTTACAGGAGGACACAGACATCAGGCACGTCATGCTTTTGTGAAAAAGCGGTGCGTGGACACGACTCACCAGTGCCTGCCACAGATCTCGTAGGATGTGATTTTTCTAAAAATGCTCAATGCTAGCCAGATTTCATTGTTTCTTTAGGTTGGTGGGACCAGTATTCAGTCAATGCTGAGTAAGTGTATTTAAAAAAAAAAAAAAAAAAATCCAGCCCCCTCACATATGAATTATCTCAACTTAGAAGCTAATGTGCTTTACCCAAGTGGGTTTTATCAACGTCAACTGTGTTTGGGTTGTGTCATGTAGTATAGCTCTTACTACACCTGGTCACACGTTTAAATCACTGCAACAGGCCTGTATATAAGAGTGAGAGATTCTAGAATCAATCAAGTATAGCCTTGTTTCAAGGTATATGCTACATTAACAATATCCAGTAGGATAAATCTGGAAGGAAAACCCTTTGCTGACAAGACGCTCGTATTCAGTAACTTGCTTCTGGAGGAGGCCATTGCAGATTTTTCTAAATGTTTACGTGTCATTTAAAGCACTCTAATTTAAAATTGGAGCCTCCAACCAGTTAATACAAGCAAGGAATAAAGCAGAGTGAGCGAACCCTTTCTTTTCTTGTTGTCTGCTCTCCTGAGTCTTGGATTTCAGCCTCTTTCCGTGTCACTGCCCTGGTTAGGTTTAAAGCCAAGGACAAGAAGCCTCTTGCACAGCTCAGTCTGAAAGGTTTCCCTCTCTAGCTTTGACCATAAGAGCTGCCCTCAGAAGTTTGCGTGAGGGCACAGGGTTGTTGGAAACAGACTGTTTGGGTAGTGTGCTGAAGAAAGCTTTTTTTCATTCAAGAGGTTTGTTTTTGTTTGTGCAGTTGTCCTTTATTTGTTTGTCATGTTCCTTGTCAAATGAAATAACACAGACTTAAGTGTCACGCTCAGAACTAGGTAACAGAGCTCTCCACCGCATTTCTTTGGACGCAGATTTTTACAGTGTTTTAAACCGTCTCAGCGGCAGAGTAGGTGACCTAACAGTGTGCTCTTGGTTGGTGTTGTGTTTTGTTTTTAAGGAAAACTTCAGTGATAGGCAAGTAATGTTTTCATGGAGTCTGCTGAGCGAGGTGCTAACACTTTCTCTTCTGTGCCGGGCTACAACTCTTGCTGTGCAAAAAAACAAACTTTCTGACTATCTCCACATAGGAAACCATGCCACTTGACAAGTGCAGTTTTCCTCACTCTATTTACATACTTTCTGCTGTACCAGTGCCGCTAAGCAAGGAGGAAGAAAACATGTTGGCAAATTCTTTCCATTCCCAGCGTTCTTGCATTCTTTCTCATCCCCTGCAGGAACTCGGCTCTTGCGTTGGAAAGGTTACGGCTGTGTCAGCGTTGATGGTGCAGCGGGATGTTCTAGCAACAGAATAAGCCTCATTGCTGCAGCTCCTTTTATGACTAGGTCCAAAAATGGTTTTATAATAAACCATTTCCTATTGATTGAGCTTGAAAATAGCATGCAAGAAAACTTTGTTAAAGGTGCACCCCGAAAACTGTATTTATTCTTTACTCATAGTAAAGGCTTTTGATCAGAGTTTACAGACATTCTGTAGATAGTTTAATATGAAAAGTTTAAGAATACTTTTAGTCACCCATAGCCATCTGTCCGTCTTTCTGTTCTTTGAGTGGTTAAGTAGATTATTTCTTAGCAAGGAAAGTTGTGTTTAACAAGTATTTGTGTGGAGAGCAACCACTCACAAATATTAGTGTGCAGAAAAATCATTGGTCAGTAGTGAATAAAAAGGGATGTTGCCATAGATGGAGTTAACACATGCTGGGACATCAAAAAGTGTTTGCAAAGACTGACTTGATCTTTTGCCCATCTCTGTTCATATTATTATAGGCATGAAATAACTATTACTGAAATTTAAAGAAAATTATCCAAATGTAGGTGAGCATGGATTTTGGATTATAATTTTGTTTTGTTTTTGAACATGGCAAAGACTTGACTTGAATATTCTGCTGGAAAGTTTCTATTATGTACGTGTTTTCAAAGGTAGCCAGCAGCTAGCATGAGCTATTTTTTCATTTACTGCATGGTCACACCTGCGTACGTAAACGGTGTCCCTTAGTGCAATAATGGGTTCTTAATGGATTTAACCATTTTGGAGGAGTAGTCTACAGTCAAACCACTGGAACAGTTGCTTTTGTTTGGGGCTTTTCCAAGCATATAGAAGTCACTAGCTGAAACTTTTTTCCAGAAAAAATGTGGCATGGATTGAAGGCATTGTAAGCTTCCTGATCTGTCTAGTTAACTTTTAAAACCCTTTTTTGGAGAATTAAGGCAAAAAAATCCTGAATGGGTGCAACTGTCTAGAGCTCTGGTGGCAGAAGTATTCATTCCATAGGCTTATTTGTTCAAAGCTCTGTGTTTCAGACTCCCCACAGGAGCAGTTCTTGTGATGTGGCTAGCAACAGGGCATATGCAAACACCCAGCTCTACTTGCTATTCTGTTCCTGATCGCTGCTGATATATAGGTTGTATATAAATTGAGTGGTAATAAGTCAGCTCCTTGAACAGACTACTTGAGCTATGAAGGCCTATATTTGATGCTGTTTTATTGCGTTAACACCACCATTTTCAGAATAATAAATAATAATTTTTCCTATTTTGTCTCATTGTTTCCTTTTCAGCATCACCTTCTGTGGCAAGAGGCACCTGAAAGGAAAAACTTCCGCATATCAATGCACTGCCAATGGTAAGTACCTTTTTAACTGACTAAAAGTGGTGTGGTTCCTCTCTCCAAAGATACCGTAAGTCAACTTGTATTGCAAATAATATTTTTAGAATAACTACTTTTTAGTACACAAACTGATTGTTTTAATTTTTTAAGCAACATCTAAAGTGCTCTTCTATTTGAAGAAAAATATATTTAAATTGTTTCCAGATTTTATCCTGTGGAAAGTAGGGCAACATGTTAACTTTAAAGCAAGAAGTGTAATTTGACAGTAACAGCTCATCCTGTTGGTAACTGCTTTTGCTTCCTCTCTTGGCCAAAAGCCTGTTGTGGGCAAGCTGTAGATTGACTGAGTGCTCTGTTGCCCCCGCTTGGGTGCTTTCTGCAGTTTGTTTCAGTACTAACATCTTCCCTTGTTAAAAAGCTGTGCGATGTTGGGTGTTTTTTTTGCTTCAACACCTTTGATAGCATAAGATAGTGAAGTTAAACTCTTTGCTGCTGTAGAAATGAGTTTGGTTGATGCTAACATCTTCTAACCTCATCTCTGGAACGTTACTAAATGTTGCAGATAATTGGAAGTTTGGATTTGCAGACTATCTTTATGGTTTATGAAGGTTTTCTGATAGATGAGCAGGTGGAAAGCAGAGGTGAGGCCTGAAAGAGAAGGACCAGAAGTTAATGCTCCAGCTTTGATCAGATTCAGATAATCTTTTTTCAGTAGTTTTGGTGTCTGGTGTTGTCACAGTCTCGGTATGTTATAAGAACATTAACAGCAGCGTTAACCTTAAGAAATACGTGCATAAAGTGCCAGCCTGAGTTTCCTATTTCAAGGATCTCTAGATCGTTGTGCTCAGTTCAGAAGTTAAGGAATACTATTTCTCACTACCGGCTTTGCAAACTTGATTTAGGATCTTGAGAGCTGGTTTACTTCGTTTTGTTTGTGGGCATTGGATAAAGAATATGTAAATCAATTACAGCCTCAATGATACCTTTCCCACTCCAGTGTCTTTGTACTGTGCGCAAAGCGACCCTCAGAGGCAGCGAGTTTGCATGGGTGTAACTGACTTGTTTTGAAATTGTAATGTAGGAGAAAATTGTGTTGGTTCTCAAAGGCAACACGGAGTGAAATGTAGTGCAGCCTGTTTGGCACTAACCAAAGCAAACGCAACTCTGAAATCAGAAGATCTGCAGAAATCATGGGTCTCATTTAATATCCTGATGTTTAGGCTCAAGATACAGTTTATACATGGAAAATTTGTATTGATTGAGGATGAATAGCATCTGTTGGGAACCGATTTGTTGAATGAGAAGGTGTTATTTTTACCTGGTGACTTTGTCTGATATTTTATCTTTCCAAAACTGAAACTAGCTGTACCTTCGGCCCTTTTTATTGTAAGGTTTTCATAGTTGATGTTGACCTTTTTCCAACAAAAAAACCTACTGATTCTTTTCATATCGTATTAGTAGCGCGTGTTTTAGTCATGATTGGAAATACAGTTCTGTAATACTGCTTCTGTTAAAAATATGACTCATTCCATATTAAGCTAGTCCTTATACTTAATTAAATTTTAAAAAACTGAGAGACTGTATTTGAAATGTTACTGCATTTTGTCCTAATTTTTCCCCTTACAAATTATATTAGAAATTTAGAATTGCACGCTCTCAGGGGCATGCTAGTTTTTACAGTGATCATAAAACATACTTAACTCTTACTTGTAGTGATGTGAAATACTCTTCACTCTTTTCCTTGTAAGAGCTGCTTTTTCTACAGAATTTTTTTTATTGTTTTAGAGATTTCTGAACAATTACTCATCTCTTAATTAACTTTGAAACAGTTTGAATGTAGCTTTAAGAGATAAGCTAGACAAATTCTTTGTCGTCCCCCAAAAATCATAACTTACATCAACTTGGTAATAACTGAAGACTTTAATAGATTTTATTATGTTGTTTGTCTTTGGTGTTTGTAAACAAAATGTGGTCAAACAGTGGTTCATCTGAAAGAGCAGCTTGTTTCTTCTTCTTAGTCAGAAACAAAAGTAAAATAGAAGTTATGCATACTTTGTGGGGTGTTGTGCTTTTTTTATTTTAAACATAATTTAAAAATGCTCACTTTCTGCATCACAAACGATATATTAACACATGACTAAATAGGGCAAAACACCAATTACTTCTTAAAATCAATTAACATATTAGAATTGTTGGCAATTGTTTTCAAATATTTATCTTACGATATAGCTTGGTAGAAGGGGCAGGACAGCTGTGGCCCATTCTCCTTCCCATTCTTCCATTCATCTGTAATGTCTGTCAGCATTTCAAAGGAAAGATATGAAGGCTTAATTAGAAAGGCCTGTTAAGTAAAGGAGAGTTCATGTATAGCGCTACTTTTTCTAGGATTTCAGAAGTTCATTTAAAGGTTGATAACTAGGTATTTACCCAAGGTTCGGAAGGGAATAATGAACGTGTTAGAAACAATAATCTAAAGTCCTAGACCTTTGGCCTAAACGCAAGGCCACAGCAGGTTTTCCATAAAAAGTCTTAGCAAATGAATTTCTTGTTAAATGATAGAACAGCTAGCTTGCTTGAGAGAGCAAAAGCATTAACAGAAATATATCTTGGATTAACTTTCATCATTTCACATGGTTCCAATTTAATGGTCTTCAAGGAGAAACTCAATGTATTGACCATGCATCACTAATCAATCAGTAGTTCGTTTGCTTGTTTTTAACAAAGCTAATTCAGAACACTAGTGAAGTACATTTTTGTGTTAAGGGACTATGAATGAAGGCTCCAGAGTGGGTTTTCTTACCAGAACTGCCAGTAAATTGCATGATTACTGATATTTCTTCCAATCTGAAGCCTTCATAAAAGTAATAAAAATACTTGATAGACTGTAACTAGCATACAATAGGGCTGTAATAAAATAGAAAAAAATGAAAGTCAAGAATGATTGATACAATAAAGGAGCAAAGACAAAAATGTAAAATGCAGATGTTTTAAGTATTTTGCAGTTTATAGTAGGTGATAAACTGAATATATTTAAAAAAAAGAAAAAAAAAATACAGTGCTGCACAAGAGGCCAAAATTCCTGTTGGGTTTCTTTACTTTGTTTTACTTGGCAGAGGTTGAACTGGAGTAGGATACTTACAGATAACTAGTAAGAGATGAAAAACACTAAAGTTAACTCCTGAAAACTACAGAGTAAGTATAGCTAGCTTCTACGCACAGCTCAGAAAAAGAATTCTGAACAAGACCATAGATTTGGAGTGAGCAGCATGTAATATGGTTAAGTGTAAGGGTCAGATCTTTTCATGTTTTGGCAAGTTCAGAAACAGTGGATCTGACCTCAGCTGCAGTATGGAACGGTTACCTTTTGGGCTTTAAATCTTGTAGTGGCAGGTTAAAATTTGTCAACTGAACTCTATCAGGCCCTATAGCTGTCTGTCTCAACTTAAGAGTCTGATTTCCTTGTGAACCGACCTATGAATGACTTCAATTTTCAGCCTAAGATGGTAAAGAAAATCGACTTCTGTTTTAATGAATTACCTCCAGTCTCCTAGAACCATGAATGTGAAACTGCTAGTTTTCTATGTAAGAAGCATTGAGGTTGCATGACTGCAGAGTAAATCTGTTCTGAAAAAACTGCAAAATGAGGCTAGAATGTTTGTGTCTCCATAGTTTCTCTTTTAATGTGCTTAATTCATGGGTTATAGGATGCTTTTCCTAATTGCAGTTGCTGAGTTGTGAGTTGTGTTCTTCAGGACTTTGAAGTGCAATAAGGTTAGAAGTAGCTTTGCAGGTTGCCAGAAGATCTTTTCCATCATACCTTGCAAGGCTTATCTTCTGAATTTTAGAAGCAAAACAGTTTACCTGTCTGCTTTGCTAAATTTCACTGAAGCAGGCCTTCCATTAAGGCACATGCAGAAACTTAGTGAAAGCTGGGAAGTATGTCTTTATGAATGTCACACAAAGGCTTGCTGTGACGCATTTAATTCCACAGGAAGTAACCACAGGGGGATAATGAATCCCCTTGCTGATAAATCAAGCAAGGCAACAATGGTGGCCTTCTAAGAGGCATGCTGAAAAACGCTGTGCCCATGTTCTTGGCTCCGTCTTTTACTACATGGTTAGGTTGACAAAGATGAAGATCAACATGCTGATCAGTTAAAAGGTCTCCCTGCAGAAGAGGATGGAGGATGTTTTCAATAATTACAAGCAGACACAGGCAGAGTCTGAGGATTTGCAGTGAGCACACAGTTACTTAGTCTCTAGGAGAGCAGAGTCATCACATCTAAGTCATATGTCTACGTAGTCTCTTGAGGGAAATACAAAGTGCAGGGTGCGTTAAATGCTGTAGTTGTTTGAAGTCCATTTTTCTCAGTGCTATCTACTTTTTGGTGATTATATCATACCGTGTTTTGAAGAAGCGGCTTTTGTGTTACATCATCTGTTCTTACACACGAGAGACACCATTTAGGGGAAGACCTCTGAAGGCACCAAGTCTCTTGGGCCCGGAAATTCCATGGTTGTGATACTTACCATGATTAGCGATCCAAAGGATTTAGTCCAGAAGCATAAAGAGTGGTTGGAGGAGCTGGGTAGGATGGAGAAATCACCCCAAATAAAAGAAATTCAGTGAAGGGATTAAAAGAGGTCTGCCAGAACTTCCCCAAAACTGTAGCAAGACTTTTTCTTTGAGCCCCTTTGTGATACATTCTGTGATAGAGTCTTCCTGTGACGTAACCACTCGTTAAGACAGCTGAAGAAATAAATGAATTTAACTATTAGCCTGTGGTTCCACAACAGCTAAGCTTATCTAAATACTAATTTAACTATTTGTCAGGTTAGTTTTCCGTTATTTTAAAACCGTTCCTTGCAGAATAAGACAGGGCCTGGGAGGAGGCAAGATGCTGCCTCTAGAACTGGAGGGGAAGGAGGGAGTGTGGCAGCAGGAGTCAGATTTGCAGAGGCTGACGTGGACCCCCTGCCCAGAACAGCAGGAGATCTGTGACCCTAGCCTCAGG